ATAAACTAATTAACCGATTATCAGCCAACGTTGGACTACGAAGCTTTACCAACACCAGTGATAAACTAATGAACCGATCATCAGCCAACGTTAGACTACGAAGCTTTACCAACAACCAGTGATAAACTAATGAACCGATCATCAGCCAACGTTGACCCAGCCTTGATCTACTATCTGGTTGTGTGAAACTGGCACTACTGAAAATAGAAGTGGTAAAATATCTCAGGTTAGGTTCTTTACGAGAAAGACGGCAGTAGAGAAGAGATCTTGTCTCGCTTGTGTGATTCTTACCTCGAGATCACAAGAGACACATTAGTGCGAAGTGGTCGCATTGGTTTGGCTGTTCGAAAACCGCTGCCAACAAAAGGTAACCAAACCAAAAAATTGAAATGGGAATCAGACCATAAATAGTGGAGTGAGCACAACTGAAGACGTGTGCTCTTTACCAATGAGTTCCTGTTCTAATTTTTCAGCAACAATCAACGACAGTTTGTTTGGCGGCGAAGTGAATATTTTCATAGGCAATATCTGTCGCGAAGCATGATGGGGAGGGGGGGGGTCACTACAAGTTTGAAGCTGCATCTCAGCCAACGGTGTCGGTGATCTACACAGAATGGATGACATCCTGACTAGTTACAATTACAAGCTAGATTCTGATCCATCATGTCATTCCCTCGGGAAAGTGACTCATTGGGCAGCGATTGATCCAGCAAAATAATGATTCTAAATATACAGAAAATGTAGTGAAACGTTATCTTAGCAATAAACACTCCGATGGAACAATCACAACCGTGGTGTGGCCTGCATAAAGTTGCGATATGAACATTATTGAGGTAGTATAGATTTAGGTAGGAACTGAGAAGGTCAAAAGACATTCTGAATTGGCTGAATTTTTTGGGAGCAATTCCGAACATCTGGAACGTTATCCCACAATCATACGTTGATAAACTGTATAGTATCATGAAAACTAGGAGTAATGTCATATGTTGATAGACTGTATAGTATCATGAAAACTAGGAGTAATGTCATATGTTGATAAACTGTATAGTATCATGAAAACTAGGAGTAATGTCATATGTTGATAGACTGTATAGTATCATGAAAACTAGGAGTAATGTCATATGTTGATAGACTGTATAGTATCATGAAAACTAGGAGTAATGTCATATGTTGATAAACTGTATAGTATCATGGAAACTTGGTTTAATGTCATACGTTGATAAACTGTATAGTACCATGGAAACTTGGTGTAATGTCATACGTTGATAAACTGTATAGTACCATGGAAACTTGGTGTAATGTCATACGTTGATAAACTGTATAGTACCGTGGAAACTAGGTTTAATGTCATACGTTGATAAACTGTATAGTACCATGGAAACTTGGTGTAATGTCATACGTTGATAAACTGTATAGTACCATGGAAACTAGGTTTAATGTCATACGTTGATAAACTGTATAGTACCATGAAAACTAGGTGTAATGTCATACGTTGATAAACTGTTCTGTGTAAAGTAAAGGACTCAAGTAGAAATACTAGTGGATTGTACAATTTGATTGATTTTCTTCTGTATTTTCTACAATAATATTTAGTACCATTAATACGCTTACCATCTAGTTGTCAATACTCGTTGTTTGTAATTGCTGGATATGTATCGCTCGTGTGTTTCCATAATTATTTTTATATACGTGTGTGTGTGTGTATGTGTATTGTATATTTGTGATGATGCAAAGCAGTAGACGATGGTTAGTACAATAAATTAATGTCTTTCTTGTACCAACCTTCGCAGAATAAAGGGCTGTGATTTCTTTTCTTTTCCTTTGCTCGCTAATAACTGTATCCAGTCCTTTAAATATACTTCCCCGTTCTTAAGATGGACACTTCCATGCTGATTTCCACTCATAAAAGCACGATACTGAAACTTAAAGAGTCCTTAGGAAAGTTGAATGGAATATAGTACTTGTAACCCGGGCTGAAGACAACACAGAAGTAATTACGTTCTATTATCAATTGAAGTAGA